CATTCTGCCTACTACACAAAGTGCAATATATTGGGCTGTTGCTCTAGCTGAATAGTTCAGGGACATAATTTATATCAATAACTAATTAATTGTTGTGCAGAATTCAAATATTTTAAAGGAGGCAGAAGAAGTGATTGAATTTTTGGCATAGATCATACCAGGATCGTCTGAGCCTTCTGTGAATATCAAAATCAAATGAACAAAGGGATTCTTGCTAAGGATTCCTAACCTTCACTGCTCCCTCCCATCACACTGCAGCAGCATTGTGTGGCAAAGGTGACAGAATGGAGGGGATCTCAGTTCTGCATGCCTCTGAGGTTCAGTGGCTGTCTTTGCACACATCCCTCTGTGATTAGTTTTGCACAGCTAGAAAATGTTGCAACTAATTATCCTAGCTACATAACTTTTGTTTTTAAAGAAGGAAATTGACTGCTCACTGTCACATTGTAAAGCTTACTAAAAGATTGGAGAGATGGCTCAGTTGGCAAGGTACCTGCTGGGCAAGATGAGGACCTGAGTTTGATCCCCAGTACCCATGTGAGAAAGGCAAGCATGGTGGGCTACTCTTGTAATTTCAGCACTGGAGAGGTGAAGACAGGAAGATCCCTGGGGTTCACTGGACACAGAACCTAGCCTACTTGGTGATTTCTGGACCAGTGAGAGACCCTGCCTCAAAAAAAATATAGACAGCATCTAAAGACAGAATAATGCTGAGTTTTACCTCTGGCCTCCACTTGCATACAGACATAAAGTGTAAAATTAAAATTTATACATTAAGTGTAAACACACTTTCCAACACACACACACACACACACACACACACACACACACACACACACACACACACACACACACACACACACACACACACACACACACACACACACACACACACACACACACACACACACACACACACACACACACACACACACACACACACACACACACACACACACACACACACACACACACACACACACACACACACACACACACACACACACACACACACACACACACACACACACACACACACACACACACACACACACACACACACACACACACACACACACACACACACACACACACACACAAAATCAACAATTTTTTTTAATGTATTGTACTTGAGGAGGAAGCATGGAAATTTACATCATGCTAATTAATAGAGGTGATAAATATTACCATGGAAATCTACCCGATGACTGCATAGACATACACAGGCGCCAAGGGTCCAAGTGCAACCGATTATGACTAGTAATAATCAGGTGCATACAGATTAGAGATGCATGTACCAATATCTCAGTGTTAGGAAAAACAGTGTGTCTTTCTGCAAGGAACAATATATTCTAAAGTGAAATGGAGATCTTTTTTAAAGGTTAAAAATCTCATTCAATTTTGTGTCTTACAGGGCTTATACTCAGTTCAATATTGTATAACTGTATTAACTCAACTGTGAACCTAGAAACTTGCACGCACTTGTGAAAGAGATGTACTCTTGCTCTGGAGTGGGTTACTGAGTACGTTACATCTGTAGTGAAATGCTTCTAAGCATGTCGTTATTAAAAATTTTTTTTAAAATGGTTAAAAAAATAATTCTTCAAAGCATAAAAATTTGCTCCTTAACAATTAGTA